CGGGGGGGAAGGAAGCCCGGTTAAAAGGGCCTAGCCAGGCGGCTGGGGAGGCGGGGAGCCCTTTGGGATCTCCCCCAGCGGCCCGCCCCGGCCCCGCGTACTCAGCCCCTAAGTCCCTTGGAGCCAGCAACCAACTACCAGGTCCAATCCAGCCCTGCGCGGCCTCCCTGGCACTCGCGGCAGGAAGGGCTGGACTTTTGGGGGTGGGCGGTTGGTTTATTAAAGCTGCGCAAAAAGGGAGTGGGAACATGGGGGGGGGGGGCCGAGGGGAGCCGGTGCGGGCTGGGGTACTCACGCCTCAGGAGCAGACTGGACCCCCCTCGGCGGCCACCGGCCTGGCGCTCAGCATCCTCGACCAGAGAGCAAGGGAGCGGGCTGGAAGCGCACGCCGCCTCCGGGGGGCCGCCGAGTTGGCTGCGGGGTGCGCGGGGTGCGCGGGGCACGGGACATCAGCCGCGCCGGCGGAAGCAGGCCGGCGGCAGTGGCGCGGTCCGGGCGCCCGCAGTTTGAATTTGAGAGGCTCTGCCGGCTCCCCGGACAGGGCTAGGGTGACGTCACGGGGAGGGGCGCGGGGCCCGGGGAGGGGACGCTGCCCCGCCCGCCGGGAGCCCAGCCGAGCCCGACCCCCAGCTGCGTCAGTGCGCTCGCCACACCCCCGCGTCCTGTTGGTCTGGGCCTCCACTCCTGGAGGTCTCCGCGACCCCCAGCATACTAAGGCGGCCCCTAGGAGCTCCCCTTGTTTGGTGGGGAGCGGGCCAGATGTCCCAGCAGGGAGGGGTGGACCCCACAGCAAGGGGCATGTGCGCGCCTGTGAGTGCTTGACTGCCTGTGCAGGAGTGTGTGTGTGTGTGTGTGTGTGTGTGTGTGTGTGTGTGTGTGTGTGTGTGATGGAGAGGGTCCTCTCTGCCCCAGGGCCCCTTCCTGCTGCTGCCTCCAAGCCCTGTTCTCTAGGGCCTGGCCGGGGTTGGTGGGGCGCCCCAGGGCCTGTGGAAGGGCCACTAGTGTGCCCCAGGGATGGAGGCCTTGCTGCTGGGCAGACAGCGCTTTGTCTCCTACTGGAGAGAGTCGCGTTCTGGGTGGTGACCAGCTAAGCGGCGATTTGCCCAGACTCTGCATGCCTGCTCCCGAGAACAGGTAGAGCAAGGCACACACGCAGAACACCCTTCCCCCCGAGGTTCACCCTCAGCCAGAGCGTGGACACGTGCGCTTTTTGCGGAAGGAAGGGGAAGAGGAATGTGCGTCTGGAAGGTGCTGGCAGGCACAGCTTGGCTGAGAGTGGGAGCCCTGGGCAGGGGTGCTGGGGGATCCGCTGAGGAGAGGCACCAGGAGCCTGGAGTCCTTGGCGTCTTGGGTTCCCATCTAGCTCTGGTGGCACTGCTCTCTGGAATCCCTCTTCCTCTCCTGGCTTGTGACCCCTCTAAGCTCCGACCTTCCAGAAGGATTGCTTTGCTTTCCCCTGCCTTGTTTCCTTTCTCCTGGATTGGCGTCCAGTCTTGGGAACCCAGGAGTTTCATTTGCGAGGTGTGAAAGGTGCCTGGTAAAGTTGCCTGAAAGTGGGCTGCTTCTGGTGGGGCAGGGGGCGATGAAGCAGAAGAAGGAGGGAATGGGAGCAGAACAAGCAGCTGACAGAGACCAAATGCAGCGCCTGCCTGCTGGCTTTGCCTCCTCAGTCCCAGGCAGCCTGCAGCCAGAAAAACTCTGGGGCCCATTTCCTGGCAAGAGGCAGAATAGAGACCACTAAGCAGGCAAAATGAGCCCTTGGAGTGAGAGGCCCCTGCCTCCCCCCACCCCCCTTCTTCCTCGGTAAGGCCAGGTCCCAGGATTGTTCAGAACTGCAAGCTCCCACATCCCCAGGAAAGGGCTATAGGAGGGGAAGAGTTTACAAACCCCCAGGAAAGGGCTGTAGGAGGGGGAGAGTTTACAAACGTGGGCTCCTAGGCAAAGGGTTCTGAGGTCTCCTCTGCCTTTTGCTTGGGCTTTCTCCCTCCCCCCTCCTCCCCTGGTGAGCCCTGACTCCTTCTCCTGTGCTGAGCTAAAGGAAAGGCAAGTGGGTGGCTTTAACCAAAAGAAATGCATTCTGTCACAGTTGAGGAGGCTGGAAGTGGGAATTCAGGGTGTTAGGCTCAGAGGGGAAGGCGTTCTTTCTGGGTAGTCTCTGGGGAAAAGACCCTGTCTCTTGAAGATTCTGCTTCCTTGGGGTCTCCTTGTGTCCTGGCATCTCTCTTAGCACATCTCATCTCTGCTCCTTTATTGAATCTCTTTTATATCTCAAAAGCGATGGACTACATGGGACTCCTGCCTCACTACCATAACAGGGGATTATAATGACAGGCAAGCAAGTTAGGATGTGCAGCACCTATTTTCCATTGGGGGGGGGGCGTATAGTTCAAACCATAATAAACCCCACTTCTTTTGTCATTGGAGCTGAATCTTGGAGCAACTTCGCTTTCCTCTGGGGCCTCCATGTCAAAAGGCAGCGTTGGGCAGAGCGGTGGCTGAGGAGCCCTGGCCAGCTGTGCAGATGGCCACCTCATTCTAGGTTGCAGTCTCATCATTAAATGCCAGCATAGTGATTGATGCCTGGGAACCTGATGACGCTTCCTTTTAAAGCACAGGAGTATTTGTGGCTACCTAATTTTCTAAATACTCTTTGTCCATAGTTCCTAGAGAGGCAGTGTTTGTTTATTCACTCAGTCATTCATGCAACACACACTGGTTAATTGGGGTAATATTTCCCTGCCATAAGGGTCAGGTTCAGGAGGAGTGCAAGTGGGGCTTAGTTTAGGTTCCAGAAGATTGACACTTCGAAACAGAACCCAGGGATTATCAGGCCCAGTCCAGCAATTTTTTAGTCCCTGGTGGCACAGTGGTTAAGCGTCCTCCTCTGCTAACCCATAGGCCCCTGGTTGAAACCTGCTGGCCTGCCCCACAGGAAGAATAAGCTTGCTGGCAAGTGGGTTTGGGCTAACTGTGCACTAAAGAATGACCCATTTCAAATCAACTCATTAACTAAATGTTTGCATTTGGGTTTTAATTTGTATTTGAAAGTGAAGTGTCAAATATTAGCTTGAGTCCTGAAATACAGTCCTTGCCTGCAAGGTGTTGAGGAAGCTATCAGTCTTTGAGGACACAGACTATTTAGTGAGGACTTCCAGAGAAAGGGACAGAGGTTGGGTGGATAGCTTAGGGGTTCCTGGGAGTCCTGGTGCCTCGAAAGCAGGCACGGGGGCAAAGAGGTGACTGGGGAGGCACAAGGACCCTGGGTGCTGCCGCCAGCCTCCTGCCATGGCTACCTTTCTCCATGGGTCCTGAAGCCTCCCATCTCTGCTGACCCCCAGCTTCCACCACTGCTGTCAGGAAGGCAGCTCCCTTGAGCCCCCTGGCTGCACCTGACAAACACTTTCCATAAGTTTCCTGGGCCTGGCGGCTGCGGAGAGCGCACAAAGGACGGCAGGGACCTGGGTCCTGGAGGCAGCGGTGGATGCTGACCCAGCTATTGATGCGCGCGGTGACGCGCCGCCCTAGCCACTCTTGCCACCAGTCGAGGGGTCCCTGGCGGGGGTCGGCAAGGATGGCCGCGGCCTGGCCCCCACCTTCCCTCTGAAGAAGGCCACTCTACCCCGGGGGACGTGTCGGGGACGCAAGGGCATTAGTGCCCGCCGTGAGCGCAGGCTCAAGTGCTGGGGACGGCCACGCGCACAGCCTCCCCGGGCCTGGTCCGTGTCCGGCCAAGCGGTGCGCGTCCCGCCCAGGGCGGGTAGGGAGCGGGGACTTACCGAGCGTGCGGCCCGATCTTCCCCGGAGGCGCCGCAGCATCTGCCCGCCGCCAGCGCGGGGCCGGCGGACGCGGAGCCGGGCGGCG